TGGTAGCCACTTCGTTCAGTTACGTATTGCTATTAGAATTTAAATTTATCCAGATTATCTATTTTTAAATTAGACATAGGTAAATAGTAATTAAATTAATTAATTAAATTTTTATATGCTAAATATATTATAATACCTTGTTAATTAGTTTAATTATTCACTCAATAAGTGAGAAAATAAATATATTATTTCACACTAAAATTTTTTTTTTTTTTTGTTTGTTTGTTAGAATTTTATTAATAATTTGATTTTACAAATTATTTTGAATTTTTTTAAAAATTGTTTTTTTTTTTTTTTTAGTTTTGAATACATATTGGTTATTTTTATAGCAATACTAACTATGTGTTTTCCCTTAAATATCTTAAACATACAGTTTTTTGTTCAAAACTTATCATCCACCGCATGACTATGACCTCATCATCTATAAGTTAAATTTAGTCAGTTTAATCAACCTTAAACTTTCGACAAATATTGACTTTCTGCAGAAACTATTTTCTCTAACGAAAGTAAATTAATACTTTGAAAACTAAATTTGAAATATTCCATCTCAGATTACTCGTCTAAAATTTTTCACTTATTTTCGCACTTTACTATAATTATAAACGTAATGAACTTTTATTTTGCCGTTTTATATCTATTACCAATATCAACCCTTTTTTCTTTTTCCCATTATATTTAATTTTTCCAGAATTTTAAATTGTATTTATTAGCTTTATCTTTATTTTTGGTAACGTAAAATAGATTATTGCTGAACATGTTATGTTATTTTATTTTTCTAAAATACAATATCTATTAAATCTTGGATATAATATGCCTAATACCTATTTTGTACATATAAATGTATATTATCTATACTTAAATAATTAAAAAATTTAAACCTTGGTACCATAATATTTATCTATTCATTGCTAAGTAACTGATAACATATAATTATTTTATTTCGAAAAAAAAATTATATAACTTACTTTACCTGCAATAAAAATTATAATTGTCAATTTGCAGCCGGCATTGAATATTCTATAATAATATAGCGACTTTTATGAAACGTATATAATTATGTATTACTACCATGAATAAGTATGAACTTGAGTGATAACTAGACGAAATCAATTTTTAATTATCGGTATAGCAATTTATCGGCCTAATATTAGTTCGTTGAACTGCACAATGCTATATGTAATATGTATATTATATAAATAAATAGAGATTGGTAACACAATGATATATATTATGATTAGAAACCTACTATTTAATGTATAATTATCATTTATTTTTATTAAAATGTTTAAAGTAATTATTGATTATTATTCTAATATTTTTATTTTAATTAAGTAAAGTAACTCAAGTTGTACTTAGAATAATAAATATAACTTTTACATAACATTTTAAATTAAAATGGTCAATGGCTATACATCGGCCAGTAAACTGTAAAAATAATTGGGCACAATTATTATTGGTCTATCGACTAAAAAATATGTTTTGAGCACAATTGGTACCTATATGATAAGGTCATTAATTTATGCACAATTGGTACAAAATACCGTTCTATCACTTAACGCTTGTAATTGAATACGAAATATTGTACAGGACATAGGTATCTATACACTATGTGGTTAGAAAAAAAAATTGTACTACGTCCAAAGAACCGAGGTAAATATAACTCAGTTGTTTTCGGCCGGACCCTACAAGAGACAAGAGTATAGCAAAAAAATAGTTACGCCGCTTTATTCGCTAAAACACCGTAGCTACGACAATAGTGAGTGTTGTGACAATCCCCTGTGAAATGTGAATAGACTACACCGTACCGTCACAATAATATTAATTAATAATCAACAATGCGTCGCACAACATTGTAATAAATTATTATATAACCATTTTCGTAGTAATTTATTCAATCTCGAGTTTTATCGCGATTTAGATTTGTTTTTTTACTATAGTTACGGCAACCGCGCACACACACCTCTAATAACCAGCCATTGGAAGTGAAAACAAATCCGGCTCGCTAAACCATTTGGGCTCAAAAAAATCACTGTATGTACGAACTAAATTAATATAAATGCCTGCTGAGTGGATGCCACATTCACATGTATTGTCTCTGTCTAACAAACGAATAACATGAAAAACTTTCATTCAGATTTTGTGTTGTTAGATCATATTAGGGTGATTAATCTGCCGTATCTGTCATCAAACTCGAAGGTAAGATAATTGTCCGCAATAATCCTTTCGTTAGATTTTTACTAGAGCTTTTGAATCTGAACGTGAATTATTAAGACTCGTGTGATCACGTGTCCTTTGTTTACGTGTAATCAAGTATAAAAATCTATGAATTTAATTCATGTGTAATTAATATGTAAATCACAAATATTTATTTCACAAGTATTCAAAACATAATATTTCCGAAACGTATTCAATTTTACCCTAATTAAATTTAAATAAAATATCTAAAAATGATATATTAATAATTTCCGTAAAAAACCAAAAATATCTGTACCTACTATTCTAAAAATAAATGTTTTATAAATAGTATTATCGTAAAAAGGCGAGATGGGTGGAGCATTTTATGTACTGGGTATTGTTAAGAATCCCTTGTTTAGTATTGAGAATGTAGCACGTAAACAATTTCATTGTGCATGCGACATTCGTCGCCAGCATATTTTTGCAGGCAGTCGATCGCAATTCGCAAGCCGTAAGAATAACAAAACGTTTATTACTACATTGTAAATTAAAAATTATATATATATTAGGTAAATCAATAAAAGTAAATCTTATCGACCAAAACTGCGGTAATAATTTTCTTTCCTCAAGAAGAACCGGGATATAACAACTGATCCTACCGCTGCCACCAGTTGTTATATTTCGTTTCAGTTTGGTTTGATTCAGTTGTTTTTGGAAGTGGGTTCTTTTAGTGGGTTTTTGACGTTTAATTTGGCAAGTAAAACGTCATGTTACTCATGTTACTTATCTAAAAAAAATCCCCACACCAACGCTAATAATAACCACCATTCAATACGTCTCGCTAGGTAGTCGCGATAACCGATAAGTATTAAGCACCTTTTATTTATAAAATTGTGTTTTCATTATTCAACTTGAATATTTTTTTAATAGTTTTTAAATGTACGAAAATTGTAAATAAATTTCATAATAGATAACGATCGATAAAACTACATTCTAAAATATTAGTTTTATGTTGAGATTCTGGTTCAAAATAAAATCATTAATCACCGACTACCCACCGCTGTGTATAAACTAGAAAACCATTGGAAGATACTAATGTATTTAAAATACAATTCCACAATATGCGTATTGTATTAATAATAAACGCGCTATTTAATAACAAAGTTCATGGATTCACGTGAAATTAAATTCGTGGATTAACGTGAATTCATACGTGATTACGTGAATTTTAATTTCACGTGTATCCCTGAATTAAACCAAACGTGAAATTGAGACAATGAGACCTCTAGTTTTTATGATGTTTTAATTTTTAAGCGTTTCATGAATATGTAATTTATAAAAATATGAAAATGCTCAAAAAAAACCAACCGAGATCACAGACAATGTTCGGCTTATATTGAGTTTTGATCATACATAATTATATAGTTCACTCGAATATAAAAGCTAACAACACATAAATAATATTGTACACACTGGAACTCAAATTTGCAGCCATGATCATGATGTACCTACGTTTTTAAGACGGAGACAACAAACACATGTAGACGTGGCGTCCTTTTCAATAATATTGTTATACAAGTAATAATGTAATATAATAATACAGGTGATAATAATAATATTATCTGCTAGTAGTGCTAGTAGTGCAAGTCCAAAACCAAAACTCTGTCGAGCCGGTAAAAGCAACAAATAATTTAAAAATACGTATCGACGAACGCCGTGACTAGCAGCGCCGTCTACCGGATAGTACAGTCGGCCGACGGCCGGGCGCAGTATAGATAGCAGTCCGCGAAATACTTCGATCTTCGGGGCCGGCCGACGACGACGACGACGACGATCCCGAGCTCGCGGCGCTATTGCGCTATCTGGCTATCATGAGTCTGTTGTTTCGTCGATTGTTGCCGTCAACTGTTGTCTTCTCCTCGTCTTTAATTGTTGTGAGTATATTCTGTTCTGGAATTCATTTTACATTTTTAAAATACCTAAGTGATCACAAACACCACACGACTGGTCGTCTGTCGCGTGATAATCGACAGCGATTTTCGCGGGCCCCTAGCGTGTTGGTGTTGCGATAAAATCATAGAATCGTAGACGAAGAAAACGTAAAATGCGATGGGCAATTAGGCAAAGGGCGGGACTGGATATTTTTATTTTTTTTTATTCGTTAATCTTAAGCCTGGGGTCTGCCCGACTTGGTGAGCCGTTTGCGTAGGTATTTGATACTTCGATAGGGAATGCATCGTTCCTGTGTGGAATTACGCTTTACAACTATTTTTGTTTTTACACGATTTCTCTATACCTGTCTGGTGGCTGGTGCCCATTTTTGTTCGTATTCTACGGTCTACGTAAAAATTGAAAACTATTGAATAATATCGGCTTTGATAATCCGACGGGTTGAAAAATATTAGGTTATTAATTTTTGTAGGACTTTAAATGTTCGTATAAATGTGGGGTTATGCTCGTGTAATATTCATATTTCATACCCACACAGTCTATTAGCATGGGCGTCGTTACTATGACGATAGGTGCCATACCAATTATTAATTACTATAATACTTTGGAATACATTTATCGGTCAACAAATCGATAATTGTCTTAGCATTGTTATCGTCACCGTATTAAGCTTATATTTTATGAAAATATGACATAATTGATGTAGAAATGTATAATATTGTACATTTGTACATTACAGTAAAGTTGTAAATATATCTCGTGTTAATGTTACCATAGTAAATAGGTACCTACTTAACATTTTAAATTAATAAAGTTAATAATCTAATATGTTTATATTTATAAAATATTAAGAATTATCTACTTGACTCAAAATAATGTTTTGTTTAGAAATAGATAAATTTATTGTTATCAATTAGATAATTTATTATTTACATTGATTATTTATACATATAAATTTAAAATTTAAATTTTTTTAATGAATTTGCAAATATCTATAGTATAATAATATATAACTATATTAATTCAGTTTCTATGTATTTGCTTATAAATTATAATGTTGTTACACATATTTATAGTTGATTCTAAAAATAATGAGTAATGACCAAGGTCAAGGTGTCTACTGATAATATAGATAGCTATAGGCAATGTTGACACACACATTAATATTCATTCTTTGATTTAATGATGGTAAACATTTCAACAAGTAGCATTTATTTTGTATCAGTGCTGGTTGTTGCTTTGGTTTTGGTATTTAGCTTTTATTGGCCCGTGAGTAATGTATTAGTGATAGTTACACAGTAATTTATATGGGTTTTGTGAATAATATACATGGTGATTTCAAAGCCTTTAGACTTCCTTTAACATATAAAATAAATCAGTTTTTTTATTTATATGCATTGATTTCAGAGCAAAAATCTTAGTAGCACAACAAACAAAATGGCTGAAGATTGGAAAAATGCTAAATCTGTGTATGATTTCACAGTAAAGGACATCAAAGGAGAAGATGTATCATTGGAAAAATATAAGTATGAAGTGCTATACCAAATCAATTTCTGTTAATAATTAATTTTTTTTTATTTTGTAGAGGTTTTGTGTTGATTATTGTAAATGTAGCATCTAAATGTGGTTATACATCTAAGCATTACAAAGAATTAGTTGAACTAGATGAGAAGTATCGAGACAAAGGGTTAAGAATTCTTGGTTTTCCGTGTAATCAGTTTGGAGCTCAGGTAAATGTACTACAATAATAATAGAGAATTTTTTTATTCATGTAAATTTATTTTTAATCTTAGTAAATTTTTCATAACTTTAAAGTATTATTTTAATTTAATCTAATTTAATGATATTTGTATATAATTTTATTAAGTTAAGTTAATTGCCACTTGACCATTTGTCTGTATGCAGATAATTCCTACCCATAATTTATTATGATGAGCATATTAGCTATATTATTACGTTAAACTTTTATTTAAATTCCACTAAGATAAACTTATTAGGAATCTTATGTAAAATCTTTTAAGATTAAGGTATTAAAATATCAATTTTTATATTGTCTGTTAATTTAAATGTCATAATATGTCCCCTTTATATCTTACAAATAACTTATTCAATTTATTTATCTAAGAAAACATAATAAGTTGTTGAATATCCAAAAATATATATAATATTTTCAAATATTATAAAAGTCAATTAATTATTGAATGTTCAATTTGTTTGAAAATTTCTAGTGAAATCTAAATAAAACAAAGTGAGAAATCTAAACTTGAGTATGTTAGAATGAAAATAAAATGTTTCCAAAGTTTTATTTTAAAATGTCATCCTATCACCAATAGAAAATGTCCTAATACCAAGTGACAGTTGACCGAATACTATCAATTTATTATGTTTTCAACTTCATTTTTTTTTTCAATTATATATTTTGAACTTAACACATATATATGTATTTGTTTACAACTTTATCATTAGATAGCTATTTTTGCAACTTCAATTTTTCTAAACTTAATGACTTAAACACTTAAATTGATTTAAATATTGTGTTAATATCCATTATTCATATGTATTGTTATATTCTGAAAATGATTTTGTTTTAAACCTATAAAATTTAAAAAAACAATGAACAATTTTTTAAATAATCTTCATCAATATTATAGATATAATAATGAATTCCTATTTCTAGAGGTCATGATATTACGTGTAAACAGCTGGACAGATTTTGCTAATTCATTTTTTGTAATATTTGTTATTGTTAGGTTCTTGTGGAAAAAAAAATGAAGAAAGTTGCACTGAAAACTAATTTTAAATAAAATAAATACTTATAGAAAAACAAAATAAAAAAATACATACTATTGTCATAGTAAATTAATAAAAATATTTATTTATTTTTCTAATCATATTTATTCACAATTATAACACAGGTTTCAACAATGTAGTGCAATATTATTTTGTCTGTGTCATTACGTTTTATTTCGTTTTTTTTTTTTTTTTAAACTGGGTATTACATATATTAACTACATATAATAAAATAAATAGAAATATTTTCAACCTCAACTTTTTTTTTTTTTAAATAGTCAAATATCTTTTGGGTGAGGCCGGATAATTCAGCTAGTATCTACTAAATACTTAAATCAATTTTATTTAAAAAATATTGCATATAATCAATCAATTATCATAAATAAGGTTATCATCTATATGATAATGTTAAGTTTATTTATTTATACCTTATACATTGCTTATTTAATACTCATATTTTATAGGAACCTGGTGATGCTGAAAATATTTGTAGCTTTACTGCAAAAAAAAATGTTAAATTTGACATATTTGATAAAGTTGATGTTAATGGAAATGACGCACATCCATTATGGAAATATTTGAAATCAAAACAAGGTGGTTTATTGATAGAGTAAGTAAATATGGTGATTTTAAATTCATGCACTGACAGTTTGAATGATTTTTTAGACACATAAATATTTACATTATATTTATGATTTATGAAATAATAATGTATTGTTTGTTCATGCAATACTTATTTTTCAGGATATATTCCAAATGATAAATTATAAATATTACATGTTTTTTTACATAATATTATAGCATAGTGTTATAGTACTATTTATAATTATGTAAATATTTACAATTTATATTGCTAATAATGTAATCTAACATCTGTTATTCTTGGGATATTAATAGATTTTATATAAATGTAAAATATATAATTATTGGTATCTATTTTGCTTATCATTTATTAGGGTTTCTAATCAATTATTAAAATCAGCTGAAAAAACTTACCTAGAAAGGTAAACCTAATTATCTTCATTAAGTTGTTGAACATTTACATCTTACATTTACATCTTGTAATGTTGATGATTTAACTCAAATATTTTCTTTTATTTAAATAAATATGTTAACTCCATTTTTTCTTAGTACTATTTAAATGGTGATTTAATTAACTTTATACTCTTTTTTTACATTCTGTTGAATTCAATAACAAATTTGTTATATTTTAAAGGGAGCAAGATTTATTGTGCATTTTCAACCAATACATGAAAGTAGGGAAATGAAATGCAGCATGAGTTTTCTCTACACTTACCAGCACTAAAAATCATTAAAATATTTGCTTATATAATACTAGTAAAACAATTATAAATTAATAAATTTATCAAAATGGGATATATATGTTAATAATAAAATGAAAACCTTCAAGATTATGAATTAAATATAATTTATAAGTTATTAAAATATATAGATATTAGGTAGTTTTTTTATATAGACATAACTTTTAATAAATATTATTTTATGTTAGTCTTGGAAACATAAATTATTAAAATTTATTTATACATTTTAATTCTATATATATTATTTTTTTCTTTCAGTTCTATTAAATGGAATTTTACTAAATTCATTGTTGACAAAAACGGTCAACCAGTTGAGAGGCATGCTGCCAATGTTAGCCCTTTGGTAATATGAATTTTTACTTAATTAATTTATGTAATATAAGATTTAGTAAAATATATCTACTTAAGTTAATAAACTTTTTTTAATTTTTTTATCCGTATAAATAAATAATATATTAATACTTAGGAGTTAATTTAATTAATAAAAATTAATTTTAATTTTACTTATTTATATTTTATCAAAATAAAATATATTTTAATTTCTTAGTAAAAGTTTTTAAATTAGAAATAAAGAAATATAGAAAGTAAAATATTTAAAAAAAAAAATGTATTATTTGATGTACATATTATAGTCAACACAACTAAAAAAATTATTGTTCAAAATCATTATATTAAAACTATTCACCTTTAATTCTCTAATTTATTTTTGTAAATATTTTAGATATTATCTTTTTTTAATAATTTTTAACTTGAATAATAATTCAAGTTTTTCAAGTATTATTTTTTAATAATTTGTATTAGGTAATAGGTATAAGATTATGATAAAATAAATTCTTTAATAAACTAATTTAAAAATTAAAATAAAATTCATCTAAAATGTGCAGTTTTATTTTAATATTATTTATTATTTTTTTCAGGGCCTGGAAAAGAATTTGGAAAAATATTTCTAAAACCTTTTATGATCAAAACATTGATTTATAATCATTTACATCTTATTTTAAACAATAAAGTAATTTAATTTGTTTTTCATTATTTTAATAAGGCTGCAAGATATACTTATATGGGCTGTTAAGAATTTTTTTTTTTATTTGATTCATTTTTAGAAAACTATTTGTGTAATTTAATTTTGATCTTCTATGTTTTAAGCAATAATTATGTGTATGTAATTTTTATTGTTTGTTAAAATATGGATCAGATCAATTATTTGTTTTTATTTGCCATTTGTTTACTAAATCATGTATCCTGTCATTTTGTCAGCTTGGCTGTTGCAGAAATCTATAAGTATCAAAGAACAGCTACATTTAAAATACTGTCATTATTGTTATCATCATCATATAAACAATTTGAAAATTAATGTTTATAAAAAAACAAAAAATGAAGGCTCAAGACTATATTTTAATTTTTGTTGTTATATCATTTCAGGTAAGTTCTTTGATAAAACTTTTAAAATTACCATAGATCATTTTAAAAATGTATTACTTATGTAAACCATAACCTGCTAAAATTTATAATTTTATTTACATAATTTGATTATATTTATTCGATCGATGAATCTATTGATTTTACAATATGTGTATTTATATACAATTCATTGAAAAAATTCTTCAATTTTCAACTTGAGTATCTTTTATGATTGAAAAATGAAACTGGTTGATACATTTTAGAAGGTTACAATTAAAAACTTATTATTAATTGGAAATGCTTAAGAGGACGTCGTACCCGCATATGTTATCTCCGTCTTAAAAATGCGTAACATAGCAAATATTACGTTCAGAAGATCACGGTTAACTCCTTTAAATTGAAAATTAGAATGAATTGACCTCTTTTGAAGTTTAAAAGTGAGATTATTATCTAGGGCATCTCATAGGCTTTTTATTATATTTTAATTTTAAAGCGAGTTATGTGTGTTTTAAGACGTGCAAGCAATTTACAATTTTAAAATACTCATAACTTGCTTTAAAATTAAAATATAATAAAAAGCCTATGAGATGCCCTAGATAATAATCTCACTTTTAAATTTCAAAAGAGGTCAATTCATTCTAATTTTCAAGCTGAAGGAGCTAAACGTGATCTTCTGAGAGTACTATTTGCCATGTTACGCATTTGTAAGACGGAGACAACATATGCGGGTACGACGTCCTCTTAACAAACTTTTGACAAAAATGGTTATTTTATTTTATTATAATTGAAAAATAAATAATTGTTTAATTTTAAGTTACAATTTTGACTAAATTAGATATTTACACAAATAAAAACTATTTTAGTTAGTTTATAGTTTGTTGTAATTCAAAAATATTATTCATAGAGGTTTTGACACTTCGCTTATTAGTTATTACATTTTATAGACATAAACATTTTAAAAACGTTTAGATAAATGTTATGCTATTGTTATTATACCTATTACAAATCTATTCTACCATTTTATGGTAAGTTTAAATCATAAGTAAATTACTATATTTTAAATTATAATACAATATAAATATATATTATCATAATAATGAAATATTAATAGTATAAAAAATGCAAGGTTTTCGACAAAAATTAATTCAACTTAACTGTATTACTAATTGTAAAATAAATTAAGAATTTTGGCTGAGAATGGTTTTTCATATGCAATGATTTATTGTTGAATTCAAATTTAACACATACTTACTTTACAGTTCTCTACTTAGGTATTTAATGACAAATTGCACTCGATACCTACTGTGCAGCAGAGCGATAACCTACTTTCCCCTATTTTTCAAAACATTGATTAATGTTTTTACAGGAAAAATTAATATAAATTAAAAATAAAATATTTAAATTTTGTATGTTCATTGTTTCATACAGTGTATATATTTACATAATATGTACACATTGTATACGTACCTACTATACAAATCATAGACACGTTTGAATACAATATATATTTAATGTTTACATTATTAAAATGTTGTCTACAATTCATTGATGTAGATACATTAAACATTATTTTATTTACAAGTTTTATTTTAAACACAATTGTATTATCATGCAAATATAACAAATATTTATCAGTAATAAATTATTATATTTTAAAGAGAAAATGTATAATAATTTATATTTATTTTATAAAACTAAATGATACTTGTTATTCGCCGACTTGACAATAAATAATTAATAATAAAAATAATTATTTGAAAAATGCATAAAGATCCAATTTATCTTATTTTAATTTGGCGGAGGTGGTTCATTTAAAATGTTATTGATTTTAATTATCATGATTTGACTTGTACAGTATTTCAGTCTACGTCTATCTTTCTAAGATGTAACAATGTATGTATGTATTATATACAGTGGCGCCGATTTTCGTTTCAAATGGTATTGCATAAAAATAAAATCCGAGATAGAAGGTAAACGGTGAATTTATTTTTTAAATAAGTATATTTACACTAAAATATGAACAAATTTCATGTAATTATGTCCAAATATCTATAACTTGGATATCTATATCCTATGAATTATTATTATCTGCTACGGCACCAACAACCTAAATTATATAGGTACCTAGTTTAATATCTAGACATTTTAAAAAGCAGCATGTAAAATCGATATAATAAGACTTTTTTTTAAACTGTTTCCATGGTTGGATAATTTTAAAAATAAATGATAATCTGATGTGATGCTATGATAACTATATTAATTAATAGGTAACCAATTATCTACTAAGTAAATGTAGGTATTTTACCCACCTGTCTTTGATCACAACTTACAAGGTAGGTATCATTAAAAATAAAAAAATTGATCAATACCTAATATATTGATGGTTCAAAATACAAATGTTATAGCAATTAACGAAGAATTATTTTTTTTTTATTCAGATAGAATTGTTCTTATTGAGATCATTTTCAAAAGAAAAAAAAATAAAGATGTTTCCTATATATTTTATAATGACATGTACGTATAAATTTATAATATACTATTTGTATCAATACCTACAGCTATAATATATAAATAAGTAAATAGTTTTAGGTAAGTACGCCGTACGAGTATACAACTATATGAAATATTAATATGGAGTAAAGATCAATTAGACCCAACCCACCTGTCGCAAATGCTTTAAATCGAGACAGATGTAAAAATATAACATTTTGTTATATTGTTGGACGTATCTACCTACATGAAAATAATGCATAGAGCTGTCTGACGGTATATATTATGTAAATATAAAGCGGTACATGCTATTGCTAAATTTTACTTTACGTTTGTTCGCGACGAATGGTAGCTAGTTGAATAATGCATAAAGTTCCCGTAACATTGCCGAATTAAAATAGGCTTTAATAAGTATATACTAATACAGATTACAGAGCGATTCTTTGAATAATGAACACTAAAATATTCTTCTATTATAAAAGTATTTTATAAAGGATTATAGTAGAGTGTCGGTAAAACAAGATCTAAGATTCAGTACCTATTTTAAAAATTGAATTTTCTTATCCAAATTTAGTGACAAATAATTGATAAGTTAAAAAATTAAATTCTCTAAACTGAGCCTCTAGGATTTCTGTGTTAATGTCTTAGAATGTATTTGGTAAATGGTAGTATAAAGTAATTATACTAATTTGACTATTTGAGAATATGAAACGGAACGGAAGACGACATGTGTTTTTGTCTGTAACCGACGGTCAATTCGATAAAGTCGCTTACTTCCTCACATAGTATAGTAGGTACCCGTATTTTTAATTGTGAATTATAATATTAAATTGTACCTATTATTAAAAAAAAATGCAGAAACTATGTTTTAATTTATAAGTAGGTACGTATTATATAGTTATATCTGCATAGGTAAATTAATGCATGTAATTAAGCACACATATGAAATAATAATTATGTGATGACCATTTGGCATAATATAGTTATCGTCATTAAAATAGCAATAAATAATAATATTTAATTTGTATATTATGTACACATACCATAAACCATCCGGTTGGTTTATTCGAATATTTCGAACGTCTGCAGGTGGAATAGGTACCTATGTTTATTATTGCAACGCCAATAAATATCTTATAATTTATTATAATATTGTTTAATGGACATTTTTTTATAGATATTCCGGTACTCGTGAATTAATTACTACCGATTTCCATAAATAGTAAAACTTATTTTATCATCGTTACACGTTTATCCACTTTAAATTTTAAATGGAAATACATTTTGACTCTTTTCGGGCGGAATTTAGAGCGTAGGTACTTAGAAATTTCACTTAAAAATGTTTTTTTCGAGCTATGTTGATACAAATTCTGTTCCCCGGTTAGATTAAACATGTAAAATGTATAAACATGTTCTATTGTTCTGTAATGAACATGGGCGTATACAAACGTGCTATAGATCGTTATCATAGATAGCGTCATAGGACTTCATGTGTATTTGTGAATGTGTGAAGGGCACAATGTGAGCAAAGCTCGTGATTTTGATAGTTAAGTACATTTAAATAAAATATGAGTGGGTGGTATGTTAAAATCTTCATTCCTTCAGTCCTACAATAAAAATAGTTTAGTATGTCATTGGACACAGTGATTTATCACAGGATTTAAATTTAACACATTCACAAGTGATCGTCTAAATGATAAAGTAGATACATTTAAAATCTACTATACAGCAGATCTTTAGTTACCCGTTTTGTTATTGAAATATTTTTCATAAATTATTTGAACATAAACAATGTGTATAAAGCTCGTTTTGAAATTTTGTCTTGTAGGTACATCTTTCTCATCACTGTCCAGGCTTCTCATGCTATAAATATATTTTTACTTAAAAATATACTGAATTGTAGTTCAATTATACTATAAAATAAAAATATACCGTTTATTAGTAGGCAGATACCTACATTAATTATTGTTGAATATTACATAATATGTTTTTTTTTTTTTTACTAGACCTAGAAATAAACAAAACATTTTTTTTTTTTTTTTGTGTTACTTGGAAATAAGTGATTGGAGCCGTTCAAGGTTTATTCAAATTGTGCTATTTTATGCAGATATTTTTAAACTAGAATAATTACTACTAATGTTCATTAAGAATCCAAACAGGTCTGTTATGTGCGTATAGATTGGAAGTGAGTAGAGAATATACGTATATAAATTATAATACGTAAGTACAAATTTAAACAGTTAAATCGTATGTATGTATCATAATATATGCTTATTATTGTGTTCGATTATTGTTTACTCGTGTAATACGTCAACATTGCATCACACAATATCACGCCCTCGCGCGTCATATTTAACCGTGTGTTCAAACAAACTTAAAAAAATAAAATGCGTCACATTAAATCGAATGCGCCAACCATGCAGCTACATAGATAATATTATAATATATTATATATCACCATATTTATAATATTATGTACATTATAATGTATTTAACCAATTAATGTCTTAGTGCTCCACGCTGGATATCGCATGGACGAGTGAAAATGTTCTCCATTTCCGAATCGAATGTTATTAATTAATTACTTACAAGAAAAATACCTCTCAAAAGAATTATTATTCTAATCCGACAGTCTTTTTCAATTTACGTACCTATCGAATGGCGAAACCTAAGTCTAGGTTAACAATGTATTATGTAGTACGTTTTGTTACGATTATATTTTCCCCGCACATGACGATTATACGTGCGATGGGTAATATTGTTTTTACGCACGCGCAGTATACGTTCAATAGGGAAACTACTTACGAAAATTTTGCATGCAAGACACGGCAGCAGTATATAATAATATAACGCCGCGCGTGACGGACATTAAAGTTAACTACATGGTGAATTCGACCACGTTGTATCATATCTCGTAATTTCAGTTTTCCCTTAAATTGATTATATATTTTGCGTCCCAGACTCCGCACTAGGTCTTAACCAAAAAGACTACAATATATACAATATGGTCAAGTATTTGTGACTTTTGTATGATAAATAAATCATATACCTAGCAGTATAGTTATAAAATGGTGTACATACTATTATTTTTCTCCCTTTTAAACGATTTAATCTTCTAACCTATACAGGTTGTATTTTATGTATGAGTCTATACACAAAAAATAATCCATAGTTTCATAATTGTAATGTATTATCTATACATTTTAATGTTTGTTAAAATGTGTTACGCATACCTTTATAAAACATATTATATATTAATATATTCCAGACGTGGCCAAACTTTTTTTGATAAAGATATAAGTATTGCAGTGTCTGAGAATATATTGTATCCTTTGAGGATAGACTCACGTAAAATATTTATTTTTATTTCTAAACCTTTATAAAATAGTATTAATAATAAGTAAACTTGTATAAACAATAAAATTAAAATGCAAGTTTTATAAAAATGAGCGTTTCACATCAAATGTCTATATAATTTCAAAATATGTAAATTTACATTATACCGTTGCCTGTTGGTGTAGAAGCATATCATATTTGTATATTGTTGGCCAGTTAATTATAATCTAGGGAATAATTGCCGACTTTTAAATTAAGATATTGCCTTCAATGATCGTCAGAAAATGTAACTCGGTACTTGGATTTTATAATTTTCATGTGATAAAAATCCATTTCACACAAACAAACGAATTCGAAATATGTTTGTAGCTGTATATGTTCTAAACGTATAATAAGTTTTAATAAAGGTGAATCAACTTTGAAATTATCCGAGATTTGGCCATAATTGGATGCTTCTGATATACTTTATTTATAGTTTCTCTATAAATGCTATTAATTTTATAAACACATGCATTTGTTTCAGGAAACAGTATAGAAATTTCAATAAGTTTGACATATATATTAATTGAAAATTGAACATATTATGTACCCAAGTACAATAAATTAATAAGTATCATTTATCAACTAGACTTATTTTACAATCCGTGGCAAAACAGCTACTCGCAACTTTAACAATACTATTCTTCTTAATTTAAGTATGACATGATTATGGGTATCTAATTTTTTTTGTTTAAATTTGATTGTAAATCACATATATTTTTTACGTAAAAATGGCGAATAAAATTATGTATGAAAGTATTCATCATGTTCACCAGTCACCATATACTTATTTGTACTATTTAAACCAACCACAGACATCGAATCAGAATCGCCCTTTTAAATTCAATGTTAAATATTCATTAGTGTTATCATAATGTATATGTATAAATACTGTATGCTGTATGTAGATTCCGTCTTCCCTAATTTAAGAATTTTTTACATGATGCTAACGTCGTAGTTAACACTCCTGCACTGTTAGCTAATAATTTTATTTTAGAAACTATATGACCTTTAAACATTTCTTTTGCTTACTGTGTAAAGTGATTTATATTTGTACAACTCTTAATTAGGAAAAATATAAACTTTATAGGTACGTTCCACTACTCTCCCTCATACAATCGGTCATCGATCACCAGAATATTGCACCATGTATATCGACGTTATACGCATGAGACTGCGCAAAAGTAAGTCCACCATTGTCGTATAACTGCAGCAGCGCACACCCGGAACCGAAGCCGAAAGCCTTATTTATATATATATTTTTTATCAGATACGTCGTAACAGATTCCATCGTACGATGTTTTTATTTTTTGTTCCCCTGGCTGTAATTTAGCTTAAGTATGTATAATATATATATAAACCTAAGCGCTACAGGAGGGGTGAAAATTCGCGGCACTCGCCAATCGTAGCGCTCGGGACGCGATTATATTATATCATTGCAGTCGTCAGGGAAGGACGCGCCACTTTTTTTTAACCTCCTTCTCATCGATGGTGGTGGGCAGAGAGCTTAACGGTAGGCCGTTAAAGTTTCCCGCTGCGCGAAGACGTTAGTGCCGGGGTCGAATGCGCGTGCGCCGAAATGAAAGGAGCACCGCCGACACCGCCACCTGCACAGCCGATGTTATCGGTCTAGTTTTATATACACCCAAACTCACACATACCCTACATGTATATTGTATACACTATACGTTTTAATATTATGGTACACGCCTGCAGCGAGTGCAGAAACTTAACGTACCAGTGCACAGTCATCGCGAGCTGTTTAAACACGACCATGGCATATCTACATAATACATGTATGCATTACAACTATTTTATTCTGTGCATTACATTTTAATAACCATATAGTTGTGCAATTTTCAAAGTAGTTCAGAACAAATAGGTGCGCTTAAATCCAAAACGGCATTCTGATTTGACGGTTTTTCTAGTACATACATTAAATTATCATACTCTCGATTATAAATTATAGACAGATATATTCCAACTGTTTAACTTTATAAGATTTGGAACTACAACGCACATCCAATACAAACTTATTATTTTTAAGTTATTAAGTAAAAACTTGGAACCTCGCTATTTAGTGTACAGATTTTAAATTAGAACGTTATTATTGTGTGTAATACGAATTATTACTAAATGCATTAAAGCTATAATACGAAATTATTGAGCGTGCGACGACTTATATATTTTATGACGGTATTTAGATCATTTTAATAGATGACAAATAACGGTTTGAGAAATTTTAATATAAATAAGCATTGATACGGGTTTTTTTTTCCACCACAGTATTCGATAATTAAACAAATATCAAATATGTTTAATATTTTACATGAAATTAACTATATTTAAATAATACGCCTGGTCAAAAAAAAAAAATAAAAAAAATATGCACGGTAATTTTTATTTAAATAGAATGGGCGAATAATATGCCTTCGCCTGTATGTGTAGCAGTATTTGCAGCTGTTTAAAACGTTTCCTGCAATACAAAAAATGGCAAAACAAATAAGCCCGGTTTCTATATTATGGCTTGTCATTGAGTAGGTCAGTATACACAATTAATACGTCGAATTTAAATTCAATAATAAAATCATTGTCCAGGTACCTAGATATATGAAAAATAATTCTAAGAGAAAGATACCGATGGACCAGCGTCTATTTTTATGGGTCTTATGTTATATTATACACGTATATGCATTTTGCTATTAATACTATTAATTTTTTGTAATTCGGTAATTTGAATTAATTTTTGCCAGAAACTGCATCATAATGTATGTGATATGCAACTTACGAATGTTATAGTCTTAATAGACTTAGTTGTATCACACTTAGAATGGTGTAAATAGAATCGTGGTACATATTATTATATAAACAGCTCAATAATGAACTAAATATTTTTTAGAGTAGTGAAAAATGTTTAGTTATTTCTCCAATCAATATTTATTAAACTACATGCGAGTATAATTTTAATATATTTAATGTTATTTAATTTTAATACCTACGTATGATCAGAACATTCTATACGCCGCGGATAATTGTTATAGGTTCCGAGCTTCAGAGGTATATAAATATCCTCACGCATTATCCGTGAGCGTTTACAATATATTCTGAAACCATATTATGCCAATAAGATACTTTACGGGTTATTCATGTATTTATTTTCATTACAGACAGCGCCAATTTCTGCTGACATTTTCGAAACATTAAACCCTCTTAAATGGGATTCCTCGCAGTCGGTCGATATTTCTGAATCGTTACAATCCGACATCGACTTTTCTTCATATGAAATCTCCGAATCGGAAGATTACACAAACAGCATTTACGGTTACACTGTACAAAACCTCGATGGTCAGGACGTTTGCTTGAATGAATATTCGTAAGTGCGTGCCACTGCCACGTAGTTTTTAAATTTTTTGTAATCTGTATAATGTACATAATATAATATGTTAAAAGCAGAAAGAAATTGGTCCGATTTGTGATCTTAAGCCACTTAACTAGCCAAGTCAAAATGAAGAATAAGTACATATTATATTGTGTTAATGAGTTACTGACATATGACTCCTTCCTCTCAAAAAAAAAAATAAAATAATAATAATAAAATTCATATTTAATCATACTGAAAGACCTTATTTTACCGAAATATGTATAATAATACACACCACTTGATGTAACTAGTAGGTACATATAATAATGCATGGTCATAAAATATACATATTTGGATTGCAGTGGACAAGTATTGATCATTGTGAATTACGCGTCCACATGTGGTTTCACCTACGAAAACGTGTGTGCTCTTTCCGAAATGTCTAAAAAGTACAAGGATCAAGGCTTAACGATACTAATATTTCCTAGCAATGACTTCTTTGAGGTAAGATTATATTATAAACCACATGTTAGATTAATTAATATAAATTATTGTTATCATCAATTGTCGTAAAATTATCATCTGATATGTTGGTATAGATAAAGTTTACGTTTTTAAATTTTGGATGTACCAAGTAAATTGTTTTATTTAAAAACTACTTTCTTAATATTTTATGTAAGTAAATCCAGTCTCCAAAACATCTTTTTTTTTTTTTAAACAATTTAGAAAACTATACAATGCCAAAACATACTTATTAACAAATAAAAAATCCAAAATAATCCTAATTCAGTTAAAATATATACATCGTCGAGGGCGATTATTCTATTTTTTTTTTTTTTTTTTTTTTTTAATAATGCAGTTTTTTCATAATATTTTTTCTTGGAGTTTTTAAATAAACTTGAAAATTAGGTACCATATTTTAAATTCTTAAGATTTTTTTTTGCGATACAAATTTCTGTTTTCAAATGAGATGTACCCTTTTTACAATAAGATATTTAATATACAATTTTCGGAAAATTTTGATGTATCATAATTAAATTTTGAAAGAGTAGTTTTGAGTTACTTAACTTTGTATAATTAATATTGTATGATCCATGATAATGGGTTTGAAAGCTATGGATAGCTATAATTATTTTAAAGTGTTAATCATTAGTATTACTTAATATTTCAACATTTGTAACTTGTTAAAATTGTTTAAAATTCAAAAAATACTAGATTCAACATTTAATTTATTTTAAATTTATATAAAATCATTTTTAATGACTATTATATTTAGTATACAAATTTTAATAATTGTGAAAATTCTCATTTGAATTTTAAATTAAGTACATAAAAGATTTAAAAAAAAGTATCTATACAAGTTAATTTACAGTAAAAAAATAAGGAATTTAAAGAATTTTAAAATATTTAAGTCATTAATAATAATATTTGTATATAATACTCATAATAGAATATTGGTGGGAATACCGCAGCGAAAGAATTGGCAAAATGTCATCCTGAATTTGAAGTATTTTCGGAAATTTGCGTAAATGGCGAATCACAACATCCGATGTACAGATTTCTCAAGAAGAAGTTACCAGGGTTTTTGAGTACAGAGTAATGCAGCCAAAACTTGTATTCATCATATTTTTTGTACTGCAGACTTCAGTAGTTAATAACGAGCGTGTATATTTTTCAGAGCTATTAAATGGAATTTTACAAAATTTGTAGTAAACAGACACGGATATCCTGTTCAACGATATTCGGCAACAGACAGTTTTGATGTAAGTATTAATTTTAATTTATGTTCTTTACGGTAGTCGTTTTAAGAATAGTAATAGAAGTAGAGTAAATAGTAATAATATTAAAATTTAACATATAGGTACAAATATTCTTTTACAAAAATCAGAAATTAATTTTCTTAAGATTTTTACGATTAAGAACAAAAATTTGTTCAAAATGTTTGGTTTTTGTTTTTTAAATGATGAACCTATTAATCAAGAGAAATTGTTTCATCATAAAATAACGATAAAATTAAATTCAACCTGTATGGCTACGCAATTATTATTTAATTTTTAAATACAGATTGACTTAATAATTTATACAATATACAAATAGACCTATCTTAAAATTATAAAGAAAATATCATAATTCATTATGATATAATAAACCGATTTCAAATGTATAAATACAACTAAGTATATAAAAGGTAAACTTAAATCAATCATGATTTGAGTTATAATAATAATAATAATATAAATAGTTAATATTGAATTAATTTTTTAAATTATATTCTTGTCATTAAATAGGCCATAGAAGAAACAGTACAAGAACTATTAACGGATAAATGTAGCTGCTAATGTGACGATTAAATCAGTATTGTCCAGCTACCAACTCCATTTTAGTACACAAAATGAATTTAGTTTTCTATTATATCCAAATTTAACCTGGCACATACGTTACTTCATACAGGTACTTGTATTATTATATTATTATAAAAAATATTTTATTAATCGCGAATGTTACATTAACTTTGTTATAATCAAATGTATTGCATTATTTTAATAAATTCAAAATGCAGGTAATTATTTTTACTTTATTTTACAGTTGAAATATTATACATAAATGAATCATAATTGTGTTTTATAATTAAAATATTCGTTAAAAAATTATGCGAGTAGGATATTATTTAAATAAAAATGATTATGTCTAGACGAACAAAAGAATTTAATTAGCCGTTAGCGTTGAAATAACAATATATATTACCAAGAGTATTCAATCAGATTCAGATTTTTATTTTAATAACATTTATTTTAGCTTTAAGATTTGACATCTGAAAATATTATTTTTCGTAAAATTATAACTGAACAGTCAATATAATTACACAAGTGGTAGCTATATGACAAATAGTTCTGTACTATCATACATTTAAAAAACGATACAAGATATATTATATCTTTTCAATTCTATAGGCATTCAAAACCAAGTTACGTTTTACTTATTTTTAACATGTTTGACGAAACAATAGGTACTTAATTAGAAAATAATAGTTACATCGAATACACATCATAGACGTTAAAATAAACTTTTTCTTAAACATAATAATAATAATAATAATAATAATAATAATAATAGTGCTTAATACTGAAAGTAAAATCAAATGTCCTTTAAACTCCAACAGTTTTACATGATTCGTAGTTTTTAGACTTTAAAATAAAATATTAAATATGCTTGTAATAATAAAAATTAACGAATAACACGAGTGGTAACTCTATCATACTCATTTCAGCAAACATTAAAAATAAAAATTACACCAAACTTGCAGTATCCATGAAACCAATAAGAATTGAAGGACATTTACTATTTTAAAAAACAGGTATTTGAATAAACAAATACATATTGTAATGAAGCTATAAATTCCACTTATTACAACACTTAAAAATTCCAGGATCTTAAATTAAAGTGTTCTTAATATACAGCTACCCGGTATTTAAACATTTTTATTCAAACAAACCAACTTTGATTAAAAAAAATCATTTTTTCATTTTTATTAAGCTTTAACGTATTACCTTTAGTTAAACGATACACAGGGGGAGGGGACTTTGGACTTTTTTTTTTTTTATAAGATTATATTATGTAATTATAGTATATTACAATGATGAATTATGATTTTTATTTTTCAAAAAAGAAAGATTATTAAAAATTAATAGGATTTATTTATTGTGTTAAAGGAAAATAGGAAAATACATAAACCTTCCCTACTTACACATAAGTAAGAAATTCAAATAATATGAATATTATCGACTTATCGTTGAGTATAGGTATATTCTAATTTACATTTACTAAATGATATTGATCTATCGGATATTTTATTTCTAATATTTCTATGAAACTTTTAAAACTTGTGTATATCGTTATTACTTTGCCAAACACATTGTATTGTACAAAGTTTAAATATATTCTAAACATAAGAGAAATGCTAGTAAAATGGTTTAAAATATTCAAACGTTTAGCTATAACAAAGATATCTACATTATATAATCATCAGTTTTATTGTTATAACTACTATAATCAGATATCTATATTGTATTTGTATACGTCATTAATGTTGAGTATCGATAAAACAAAGTCATGCGGATAAAAAAGAACATTTTGGTTGCATTTTTTTTTTTTTTAATAATTAAAACCAGGTATTCCTATTCAAGTATATTTACTTCACGCTATAGTATTTATTTATTATTATTATTTTGTTTTAAACGAGTTATAAGAATTAATCGTTATTAATTGTTATCTATATAAAATATAATATTTTAGGTATAATATTACATTTTATTATTATTATTTTTTTTAATCAAACCATTTTGTATGTAATGAAAAATGTTAACAGAAACAATCATTAATTAAAAATATGTCACATATTTTTTATCACAATGTTTTTATAGAATCATGTAACAACGGGAACGGGTAAAGCTATTTTATACAAAGTAAAATAATGTAATGCATTTATTGTACCAGGAACTTAAGCACGAATATGCACCTGCTATAAAAAAATACTTGAGAATTAAATTTATTAAAAAAAAACTTTAAATAATAATTTATTGTATAATATGTTATTCGTGTTTTTGAATATTTCATATTTGTAAAAAGTATCATTTAAATAACAAAAGAAAAAAAAATGTTTTAATTTGTTTACATATCCTTAAATTGTTCAAAATATAGGATTAGAAACTATTTTTTTTTTTAATTTACTAAATGATTTAAAATTTAATATGTTTAGCAAACTAAAAATATAAAAGTTATGCTCTCAGAAATATGTTTTTCGTGCCATTAAATATTTAAAATGTAATGTTACTAATTCTGTTATTTAATTCATTTTGTGTTAGTATACATATTTAACAAATATTATGTAACAACTATAAGTACTATTGTCTATTAATAATCATAAATAAATTTGATTAAACTGCAAATGATATAGTTCAATCATATTTAATGATATGGATTTTGAATCCACATAAAATAGATAGGTGCACATTTAACTGCCTATCTGGTAATTAAAACTATCATGCAAGTGTGCCAACAGTGTGCTTAATAAAGTCATTTATTTATTCAATCATTTGTTTGTCAATAATTAATGAAATACTTATGTCATAATTGATGTACATTGACTCGTTAACATTAAAAAAAAAAAAATGTGGATCGATTATTAAACAATATAACAAACCGAAATACCACATTTTCAAACAGTTTTAGTTTATAATTACAACATCCTTACAATGAAAATTAGAACTAACATGTACTTAATTACGGCGATACTGGTAAGTTAATAAATTCTTATATTTACCATGTATTTTTTTATATTTTAATATCTATAGAATAAAGTAAGTTATATTTGTGATAAATTTACAAAATGTCTAATTACGCATTCATTTCAATAATTTTACTTAATTAATCAAATTATTTTATGAACATAGAGTAAATAAGTAGAAAAAGAAATATATTTATAACATAACAATTTTATAATATTATTATATTTTGGATTGTATGGACTTTGATTAGTTTCTATGGTAGTTCAAAAGTCATTTATACAAGTTGAGTAATTTTGTAAAGATGATGAGGTAATTTATAATATACTATATTTTTTATTCTAGAGGTAATGCATGAAAAAATATGATTAATACATTCAACTTTTTTAATAAATGAAACAATTCAAATTAAAATTCTTGTAGTTTTTTAAGATTTTAAATAATTATTTAAAACATTGATTTATTTAATTAACCATATTTAAACTTTTTTTTCTGAATAGCTGATATCAAACTTACTGACACTATGCAAAGGCGACAGTGACATTGATCATGAACCATTCTCTGATCACTTAGATGATCATTTAGACCACTTAGACGATTTACATGATATAATTGGTCCTATATCAAATAATAACAATATTATTCATAGAGTTGAATTAGTTCAACATAATGGAGATACAATAACTAAATACGCAAAAACATCCCATACAAATCAAGAGGCAAGTAACGAAATATTTTCCAACTCAATTCCTACTATTCAAAATTCTAATGTACCAGCTACTTTTACGAAAGTAATAAAAAAAACAATAATAAAACAATCTGATAATGATGGAAATAATTCCCCAGAAACCGATTTATCAATGAATGATATGTACAGTAAAAGTAAATTGAAAGGAAACGGAATTGGTAATTCAATGTCGAAGTCTCAAACTTTATCACAAATGGATCACGCGGAAAACATTAGTTTTCCACCTATGCCTTTACAACAAACTTCTAATCTACAAGGTAATAGAAACAACATAATGCATACTACAGTAGTGAAAACAACTACAAGTGGAAGTCCAGCAAATGAATTAAACGAATCATTTAGTACAAAAAATAGCTTAGACGGAATACCTCCAAATCATATTATATCTACAATGAGTTCAATTAACTCAAATTTCAATGACGGAACTGAAGGTTCAGGTTCCTTGCAATCAAATTCAATGGAAGGAAATAGTAAAATAAAAACAGTTTCAATGACAGAAGATAATATCGATGGAAATGGTATTAATAAATCTAAAAGAATGTCTTCTAAGCCACTAGGTTCTTACAGACGCACGAAAACTACAATAATAAAACAACATAGTATAGATGACGACAATGATAGTAATGATTTAAATAAATCTTCTATACAATTTAATACAGAAAATGCATCTTCAAATAATATTGTATCGTCAATGACAAACCCTTTAGGGTATAATACAGTAACTACTACAAATATTGACAGAGATAATTCTAATAATAATGCATATAATCAAAGAATCCCATCTAGGATAGAACAAACTCGTTTTAACAAATTTAATGCCCTTGGAAATTCAGTATCTGAAAATGAAGTTACCCAAAATCCAAACTCGTTTGTACAAACCAAAACAACAATAATAAAAAATGAAAGGGCAGCTGATGAAATTAATCTTGGGGATTTAAATGATGCCAAGATAGATTTTAATATTAACGATGAAATTTCTAATTCAAAGAACGACATAAATTCAAATGCTATGATATCTTCGAATTACAATGGTAATGATAATGACAATGGTCTTAGTTATAGTTATGGTTATAAGAATGGTTATGATACTAACTTAAATAATAATTATAATGCTAACTATTATGGTATTTCAGAAAATAAGTATAATGGTAATATAATTTCTTCCGATAACTTGAATAATAAATATGTTCTTATACCCCAGTCTGGTAATGTCAAGATCACAAGAAAGAAAGGAAAAAAAAATGGTAGAACCAAAAACTTTAAAGGTGGTAGGTCAAAAAAAATGTCATATGGAAATAGAAAAGTAAATAATGGACAAAGAAAAGTTAAAAATAGTCGTAATTATAAAAAGACAAGATCATCAAAAGCAAGAAATGGAGGAAGTTCTCGATATTATTCATCAAATAGTTATGTAAAAGGAAAAAGCGATTCTTTTTCATCTTCAGATAGTGAATCAGATGAAGAATCTATGAAGAAAAAAATGTCGTGCCATTGTTCAAAAGAGCGAAGGTTAAATAAAAGAGATAGTAGTGAAAGTAACCGAAGTAGTTATTCAAAAGAAAATTTTAGTGCAGGGAGTCATAGTTTAAGTAATTCTATGGATAAACAACCAATGAAAAATAATGATGACTTCGTTAACGGATTATCATCATCACCACCACCGTTCATGGGGCGTGAACCGCCACCAAATTTAATTTTTGATATGATGTCAGATCAGCGAATAGACAAATTATCTAATGACAATCAATCAGACGAAACAACAGCTTTGAACAGACAAGGAGAAACTAGAAGTCAACAGATTGATGATCATCACTTATCCAATGTTGATAAATTAAATCAATATTTAGAATACCAAATACCAAATGAACAGTATTTCGGACCACCTGATTTAGGTCCTGGTCCCGGTCCCGGTAGAGCTCCCGGTCCCGGTAGAGCTCCTGGTCCCGGTAGAGGTCCCGGTCCCGGCAGAGGCCCCGGTCCTGGTAGAGGTCCCGATCCCCGTAGAGGTCCCGGAAAATGTCCATTTAAACAAGCTAATTCATTTGAATCTAGACAATTTTATAACGGGGGCTATCAAAAACACTTTGATCAAAATCAACAATCATCATCTCCTCCATTACAATCCCCATATCCATATTCATTTAATAAAGATAGTTATGCTGATTTTTCTAAGATAGACTCAACTAGTCCTGAATTTATGGATAGTCAGTCCGGGCAAGCGAACCAGATAAACATAAACACAATTTCACCTCAAATACAACAAGACAGTGATAATGAAACTTCTGAGTTTAATCAAATGAGTGCAGTTAATTCAAGATCCAAGACTATGCATACTAGCAGCAATATAATAAAAAACACAAATAGCGGTCCAATTATAGAGTATAAGAAAATAATCAAAACAACAAAAAATATAGATGATAATAGTATTCCAGATAGATATAATATTGTTCAATTTTTATCAGTCCCACCTGAAATTGACGATATCTATAATATATAATATTCAAAATAATTCTAACGGATAAACAATAATGATAATACTATATCGTTGTGTTTTATAAATGATAATAATTGATAAAAAACAATAAATTATTTTAACATCAATAACGAAAAATTAAAATTCCAAGAATAATTTAAGATTATTATACAAACCAATAAACAGCTAATTGTAACTGTAACATAGATACGAATATGAATTTATAAAATGGTATGGTTATTATGGAATATTATTTATAATTTTATTTGATATAAATACATTTATTTATGTACATTTAAATAAATACACTAACACTCATAACGTATATTGTTTTATTAATTGTTTTTTTTTTTTTTTTTTTTTTTTTTTTTTTAATTCAGCCATAGTAATTTTTAATAATGGTTATCTAATATTTACGATATACTCTTAACATCATCATACAATGTGTTATGCCACTATTTTACCTAGATAACATTAGTTTTACGAACCAATCGGATCATGTTTTATCTATTCGTCTGTGTGTAATACAATAAAATCTTAAATATGGCATGTGAAGTTGTGTATATTATACATAGAATATTATGTGAATAATATTTGTATATACGTACGTGAACCATAAAGATGAACGGTAACTGATGTACATTATCGTATCTTTATTTTATGGCTTGTACCTAATTTTTTGGAAACCAGACACTTTTCGTTAAACTTAACCGGAGAAGACGATATACACTATAATAATATAGGCTGGTCAATATAAATATAAAGATTCGTACCATTAAAAATGTAAGTATCACCATTACATTACATAATATATTATATCTTAGCTGATGCGGATCCATTAAATGTGTTTTGAAAAAAAAAATATTTTTATATCGAAGAACGTACCAGATGTATGTGATTTGATTTGATGTGGACGGTGACATGAAAGCGATTTGGTTAAGAATCATTAATCAGTGAGATAAAATAATCTATGAAGGTATTTGAAATTAAAGCAATAAAATTAATAAAACTTGTGTAATGTGCACAAATGATAAATTATAGTTTAATATTTTTACACAAATTCGCCACTTAAAAGAAAAATAATATATGCATACATTACACTTGTTAGGTGGTTTAAATTACAACATTCAATGTTCTTTTAATTTAAATTATATTAAATGTATTAAATCTTCTTCAAACAGTAGTTAAACGGTTTTTCGGATCTTCCTGGCCTATACTTTTGCAATGTGGCACGATATGAAATAGTTTTAATACATTTAGTACAATATGTTATAAAATAAATGTTAATAGTACATTACAGAAACAAAATAATTTATTACTGTGGTCATTATTATATATTATATTAAAACAATTCTAAATAAGTTAGGTTAGATAGGTTAGTTTTCAATATATGATATATGATTATTATTTATTTTGAGTTAGGTATGTTGAAAAATAATATTATTTAATTATTTAATATTTGTTTGAATTTTAAACAATAATTGCAATATTTAACAAAGTTTAAGAAGACTCAAAAGCTAATTAAACTACGGCTAACTGTTATCTATTTAATATAAATAGTCCAAAATAAATAATAAAACATTATCATTTTCGATTGATTTTTAAAATTCTGAGCGGAGCAAAAAATACATTAGTTTTATTTCTTTGTCTTCTTAGTAGTTGCCAGTATTCAAGACCAAACTGACAAATATCATGGAATTTTTTTCCTATAAAGGCTAAGACTCTACTATATGTGTCCTGTTCGATCAGCTTCATGTCTTTTGTAACCAGGTCTCCTCATTTTAAACTTTCATCATTTCGTCTAATTGGTTATTTACCATATTGAGTAATACAATAGTAAATTTGTACTTTATGTTTGTTAGCGAATCTTTTTTTCACCACTTTTAAGTTTTATGAATGTATTAGTTTACAATTATTTATGATTTTTGTTTTATAGATCAATCATCAGTTATTATCTTTTGAAGTAAAAGTGCATTAATTTTTAACTTTTCAAGTGATTTCTAGTATCGAATTGGTTTATGGTTATTTAGTTTATACTCAGATGCTTCAAAAAAGCAAAAAAAAAAAAAAATACATCAAATAACCGCTTTAACGTCCTGTAAGTACCAATAGAGTGTATCTCATTATCTCAAATATTCTCTTTATATTTTTTGACTACTTTAAAAAATACTGAAAATAACCTGACCTAAAAGTACTAACCAAATCTAATTTGTTACTAGAAATTATCCTCAAAGTTAACGACTGGAATACTTTTTCTAGTAGAAAAATTATCTTCAAACACAATAAACACACACATCATTTTAATATCAATACAGTCATACAGATGTAGAATATGTAGATATTTCATTCCACTAGAAATATAAAAAACGCCTAGTAGTCTTAAAAATAATCAGAATAAATTAAAAAATTATTTTATTTTATTTATTTAATTTAAAAAACAAGAGTATTTATACAATTCCAGTTTTTGACGATATCGATTTTGTTATTTTGAAGTTATTCAAAAATTAATAACCTTCGATGCATTATATTTTCACCAAATATTTATATTAATGTTTTTTAAACATGGTAAATTATGTCAAAATATTTTGGTTTTTTAGTACTATTTATATGCATTAAATCTTTTAGATTTATAACGGTATGTAATATTTATTAAAAATCCAATTATACATTAAAAAGTCTTCAAGCAGTCGAGTCAATAATATTACTATATTCTGGGTATTATTACTCATAAAATATTTTATTTTATTTTTGTTAAAATTTTATACATAAACACATTTATTTACATTCAATACCTATTACGTACAAATTTTAACTTTAAATATATGCATCAATGCATCATTTATACTCGTTGATTGCTGTACTTTCCTTATTTTGTATTAATATAACGATATTTTTCATTAACCTTATAGTTACTTGTTTAGATAAAATGTATATTTACAATATATATTATAAGTACTAAGACAGTTATGTATACATATACAATATATATGTATATAATTATTATATATATAGATGAATGTATATTTTGTGTATAGGAGTTGAAAGTGATTAGTTATATGTTTTTTCCTCTGAAATGAATTCAATACACAAAAAGGGGAGGAGGTGTTTCGCTAAGAAAATTAATATTTGTCTTTGAGACAAATGTGCGACGAATAAACAACATACAAACAGCAACTCCAGCTGTTACCGAAGTAACTCAACAACCAAATAAACATGGCAATAATAATTGCCAAATACATAGATGGGTCCAAAAATCTTGTTATACATATCAATACATCGTATTTGCAGAATGTGTAGTAAACCGTTATTTACTCGATTAGTTTGGTTTTACTTTTTTCTTTAACCATTTTAATAAAAGAATATTGACACAAATCAATGTGAATTTACATTATGGGTATAGAATAGTAGGTAGGTACATAGTAATACGTAGGTAGTAATATGTAATATATGCCAAAAAATATATGTATATACTTTATAATATGTTGTAACTGTGTGAAATACACTAAAAATCGGATTTTTATAATTATAAATACCAAACGGCAAGAATGTATTATTATTTATTGCATGTTTGTTATGACGTACATTTGTAACTGAATAGGTACATAAAAATCACATTCAATGTAATAGTCATCCAGGATATATTAGTAATAATAAAATAACGTAAAATAGGTATAGATGTATACGAACTATAATACACCACATCACAGTGTCATTATACTAAGATGGTTTAAAAATATTATTATTGTTAATTGTTAATTATATCATAATAATATTTGTTATATTTTATGTATTATTGTTTTAAGAATATTCAAACTGTATACTGACCAAATCAATTTTTGTTGTTAATATTCAATGAATTAGATAGTTGTATTAAGTTTCAAATTTCTTTAGTTTCTAAAAAATAATATATATTTACATTCTATCTTTTGCAATTTAACTTTAAAATATTAAATTTGAGATTGTTAACGATCATTTTTTCAAATAAAATGTACGTTAAGTAGTTGTTAAACGTATTTCTTCACCATTTTTGGAATCTGGAATTTAGGAAAAAAAGGCTATCGACCGTTGACAAATAATAATTGAAACTATCTAGCAATTATAGATTCTATAAACAGAGGCAAAGAAATGTTTATTGTTTTTAAAATATAAGGTTACTTTCTTTCAAAATGTATGTACGACTATGGGAATTTGTAATCATATTATATACTTAGGAATTCACTAAAAATTATATGTGACATTTAAAATCTAAAATTTCATTACTTTACGTTAACAGGTATCATTTTCAATGTATACATGAATGATGAAAGTTTCGTTGAAAATAAGTTAGAACTACCAATAAATGACAATAAAATAGTGACATCTACGAAAAAATTTATTTATTGGTGGGTAAAGTTGTACTGTACTCGTATTACTTGCTTTATTTAATTACATGCGTAATACGATATTGATTATAAATACTATATAACCTAATACATAGATATGTACAAAACTTGTCGTGTTGAAATTTTGTCGCACTGCACATTACTCGCACACCTAGAAGAACACAACTCAAAATTATCAATTATAGAATATGAGGTACAGTAGGAATACTTATACTTGGCTAAAAACGAAAATAAAAGTTTTTATTTTACTTACTTTACATTAACACTATTTAATTCAGATTTACGTTTATACCTACTCTATAAAATATGAATCGTACTAGTTAAAAAAAAAAAAAATGTAATTGGGTTTAAAATTAAAATTAGTTTTGTCTGTTTAACTTTTTATTATTTTTTTTTTAGTTGGTTCCATTTGTAAGAGAAAAAGTATTATCAATATTAAGTAATTATCTATTTTATTATGTTTCTTTTACACTTAAAAAGTATATTAAATATTTGATAAGTTTAAAATAATTAGTTACAATACTGAGTATATAGTTTAAATATAATTATATCTAATTAGTGAATTATGCAATTATTGCGTTACGTAAACTCTATTTTATTATGATTTTATATAAATAAAAAATATCCAAGCCACAATATAAT